TGTTCAAGATAGTAAAAAGATAAAGGCCTCCTCACTATCACTTAACCATTAAGCATCACATCTTCCCCAACCATGTTCAAGATAGTAAAAAGATACAGGCCTCCTCACTATCCTTTTCATCAAGGAGCATATTTTTTTCTTCCAGAAGCTCCCCAGACTAACTCTTGAATGCTGATTGGCAGCAATGGGTCAGACGCCCGTCCCAAAACCAATTAGCAGTAAGTGGGAACGGGGTTGCCACATTAGACATGAACCAAATATGGTTTGTTTCCTAGGCTAGGAGAGCGCCCAGCTTCCCTGAGAGCTACCTGAACAAAAGTGAGGAAGCCATGAGGGGAAAGGTGTTGTGTGGATAGCCAGAGTGTCTGCCACACAGAGGATGTGCTTGCTGGGAGATAAAGGTGACAGATCATGAGAGACCTTGATGACTTTATGGAGTGTGCACTTTAGTCTGAGGGTGAGAGAGATTTGTCTGATGGTTTCCTCACGATCTGATTCATTGTACAAGTATTCCTGTATTTTTGGCAGGAATATAGCATAAGCGCAGTTGTGTCTCACTGCATCACACCAGAAGACACATGGTGGCAATCTGTGCTTTGTTAGTGATGCTAACTTTGATCATTTGATTAAGGTGTCCATCTCAATTAAGGAACATTCTATAAAATAATTAGTGTGGGCTCTTTAAGACTGCCAATGTCACAAAATCAGAAAAAAAAAGTCTGAGGTGGGAGGGTGGCTTGAGGTCAGGAGTTCAAGGCTGTAGTGTGCTATGATTGTACCTGTGAATAGCCACTGCACTCCAACCTGAGAAACAAAGTAAGACCCTATCCCTCCCCCAAAAAAACCAAAAAAACAGGCTGAGGTGAAGAACTATTCCAGATTAGACTAAAGAAACATAACAACTAAATATAACAAATGATCTCAGATTGGCCCCAAATTGAGGGAAAAAAAAATTGCTAGAAAGGTCATTATTGGAAAAAGTGAAATTTGAATATAAACATATATTAT